AACACATCATGACATGAGAGAGCTACGTGAAGGTCTTGCTCCAAAGCTGATGGAAGTCAGCGGGCAGCAGGTCAGGAAAGCAAACCCAAGAGGAGCTCTGCAACGGGGTGGTTGTTATGAAGGGGGGGGGAGGGATATATGTGCAACCCAGTTTCTCCCTGCTCACGTTTCCTGCTGGCACAGGGGGGAGAGGCAGCTCTTACTGCAGAGCCCTTGTGCATGGCATTTAAAGCCTGTCAGTGTGTCACCTGTGCCGTGAGCAGGCATGCCCCTGGGGGGTAAGAGTGCTTCCCTCTTATTTTGGAGGTGCAGGGTTGGGATGGGTAAATTCATGTGAAATCCATGTTCAGCAGCAATCTACCCTCACCCCTGCAGTACAACGAATGGGTTGGGCTTGTCCGCATTTTTAGTTTTCCAAAAGCAAGTCCAGTATCTCCTCCATGTGTCATCATTTTTCACCTTCCCTGCCCATGTTCATTAACCCACCTACCATCTCACTGGCTTGCTTTGTTTTAAAGGCACGTACGGTATATACTGTTCTTTCTCCTGTGCGAACGGCCTTGCCTCCTGGTCCAACTGGTTGCTGCTTCCCCGTTTCTCAGCTCCATCCTGATACTTTACCCACTGGAGTGATGTTCTGCTGCCCAATTTGCTCTTATGTGCCCTCGGCTCTTACGATCTGCTCTTGCAGAGGCACTGCAGACCGTCGCGCCATGACCTGACTTCGCAGTTTGTTGGCTGTTCCTGTCTAGAGGGGCTGGGCACTTCCTTTTTGTGCAGCACATTTCCTCTGCAGCGGCTCTGCTGAGATCCTCCTGCTGTCTGCCTGGCTTGCACGCTGGGAGCTGGGCATCCTGGGACCCTCTGTGTGCCCGACGGCTTTCTCCGTCTCCGGTGGTTGCCCTGCCTGCCTCTGCTGAGCGTAGTGCCCTGTTCTGCACCCTCTGCTTGGGCAGCTGCACAGGAATCCTTTGGCGTGCAGGGAGGTGCCCATGCTGTGAGCATCACCTGGGATTTTGCCTTTCTGACTCTTTTTGTGGTTTGCAGAAGAAGCGCGCGGCTGCTCTGAGCCTCTGGCCACCCCTCTGCCCTTCACTGGCAGCGACTGAGCCCTTTCAGGGTAGATGTCACTCTAAACCTCTGCCTCCTCTACCTTTCCTCTGTACCCCCTGCTTCAGAGCAGGCAGAAGCTAAGTGAAAATGCCTCCTTTCACACTGTCTCATCGGCTCCAGGGTGACCGCATCTAACGTACGGTTTTGGTAGATGTGCCTTGCTTCCAACGTACCTCCTGGGTGTGGACAGGAGGCAGATCCTTCCCTTTGCACAGCCCACCGGCATTCTGTGGCATTGCCTCTGTGCCAAGGGTGGGACAGTGCTGGGCCTGAGGCCAGAATTGCTCTTGGGTCTTTAAACCTTGTGTGATGGAGGGATTGCGATGCCAAGATTGGTGGCAGGAGCAGGTGGGGAGGGTAATGGCCATGGCTTCCTCCTGCTCAGTTCGCTTAGGTCTGTCCCATCCAGTTCTGCAGGGCAGCGACCCTGAAGGGTGCTCATTCCACCTTGAGGCACGTCCAGGGTAAGCACTGGAAATGTGTAACCGACTGGCATGTACTAACTGCCTGCCTGTTAGAGAGCAAAACGTGTGGGAAGGAGCGAGGGAGTCAAGGGAAGGATTCCTGACACGGTGTTTTTGCAAAGTCCCTTTCTTGAACTGGAGGGGAAGCCTGAGTTGCTGCTTCAGGAGCCAGAAGACACACCTGATGCTCAGGGATTTGTGGGTTTCTTTGTTGGAGCTCTTAGCTTCACCTTCTCTTTGCCTCTCTTTGCCTCTGCGTCTGTTCTCCTGTGTGCCAAGGGACCTCCAAGGCCACGTATAGATACGGGGTGAAGACTTGGTCCTTACTGGCCGTCAGGTGGCTCACACTCTCTCATTAAGCAAATGATAAGTTGGGGTTAATAATAAAAAAACCCAATGAGAGCTTCTGCCATCACGGTCACCGAGTTGTGAACAAGCAAGTGAGCCACGGAGTTGCTCAGGAAAGACGCCCTGGCCAGAGCTCTTCTGGCATTTCTGTTCCAGGGAAGAGACTGCAGCTCTGAAAGCACTTGGGTATTTTCCATCTCAGATAAGTGGCTTTTATTTTGCTGTCTCACAACTGCCTCTCTGGGGCTTGTTTCACTTCCTGTGCTCTGCAGTTAAGCAGCTTAGGGTTTTGGGGGTTTTTTTCCTTTTTAATATTTATGCACATCATTGAGATTTTTCTCTAATGCAGCATGGGATGAATTCTGGACCTGAGAACGTGACCTTCTAGTACAAGGCATGAAAACAAACATTGGGTGGGAATTCGCTATTGCACAGAGTTGCTCAGTTCATGAACTTAGTAAAAGTAAGCAAAATAATACGTGTACCAGACTGTGCACTTCTGTAGATAGCAGGAACATGCGTGGTAATGAAGCGCTCGGGAAGAGGTGTTGAAGGTTGTGCTTTGTAGTTCAGGCTGATCTCTAGTTGTAAAGGACTAGGAGGAAACTCAGCCCAGGGTAAGCCACTTCCTATCTGCCTTCTGCAGGGTTGTGGTCTCTGTGGTGGCAGCTGATGCCAGCTACTGCCTGAGAGCAGGCATGGGGCACGTCTGGCCATCCCTCTGAGTCCTGTGGTTCTGGAGTGGTCTAGTTACTTGATGCTACAGGAATAGTCTTAAATCAAATAACACAAAATGCTGTGACTGGGATTCAAGGCTCATTTTCCTTATATTCCAAAAGATGGTAGGGAAGTTACATCCCTCCAGCCAACCCTGTACCTGTCTTTAAACGTTTTCTGGGGCTGTGTCACTTCACTGCCCTCACCGTGCAGATGGAGTTTTATCCTGAAGAAGTAGGATGCCAAGTTCTTCTCAGCCCTTGATTTTGTTATGACATTTCCGAAGTGGAGCACTTGGGGCTTTGCCTGTTTCCAGCTTGGTTTAAAATAAGAAATTAAACAAGCCAACTGTCTCCTGGGCTGTATCCAGAGCAGTGTGGCCAGGAGGTTGAGGGAGGGGATTCTCCTTCCCCTACTCTGCTACCATGAGACCCCACCTGCAGTGCTGCGTCCAGCTGTGGGACCCCCAACATCAGAAGGATATAGACTGGTTGGAAAGAGTCCAGAGGAGGCCAAGAAGATGCTCCGAGGGCTGGAGCACCTCTGCCATGGGGACAGGCTGAGAGAGTTGGGCTTGTTCAGCCTGGAGAAGAGAAGGCTCTGGGGAGACCTTACAGCACCTTCCAGTGCCTGAAGGGGCTACAAGGAAGCTGGGGGGGACTTTTTACAAGGGCCTGTAGTGACAGGACAAGGGGTAACGGGTTTAAATTGAAAGTGGGGAGGGTTAGATTGGATATCAGGAAGAAGTTCTTCCCGGAGAGGGTGATGAGGCACTGGAACAGGTTGCCCAGAGAAGCTGTGGATGCCCCATCCCTGGAAGTGTTGAAGGCCAGGCTGGATGAGGCTTTGAGCGACCTGGTCTAGTGGAAGGTGTCCCTGCCCATGGCAGGGGGGGGGGAACTAGATGGTCTTTAAGGCCCCTTCCAACCCCAACCATTCTATGATTCTGTGAATTTTTGATGGACCAGAAGCAACATTTAATTTTATTTGCAGCTTAGCCACCACCTAAAAACTGGTTTTGTTCTGTTTTTTTCTTTTTTTTTCATGGCTATGGCAAGTTCTGGAAGATAAATTGGTAGATTCATGCATTACAGCTTATTATAGAACTCAGACCTCCAAAATTCACTTGTTTGTTAACAGTTTTCGGAGACCCTGGTGGCATGGCATCGCTTACAGACCCCTAAAGGTTCACAGGTGACAAGTTGAAGATGAATATGCTGAGGAGTAGAAGATACCTCTCTCAGGGCGTCAGTACCCAGTGAGTTCCTGAACCCAGAGGACAATTTTCATTCCTGGCAGACTCTGTGAGTCTTCTCCTCTGAGCTGGTGATTGGTGCTGTGCTGCTCCTCGTGAGGGTCACCTCCTTCCTTGGTGTGAGACCACTCCCCACCTGGCACAGTTACCTGTCTTTTCAAAGCCGCTCCACGGCAGGCAGGCAGAGCTGTTCAGTTCATGACAGCATCTTGGCCCCAGGCGTGCCTGCAGTCGTGTTATCCCCCACGCAGGCATCACAATAATGTATATGCAAGCCTGTGCCCACAGACTGCTTTTTTGTTCCTTAGAGGAACATTTCTGCTATTGTCAGCATGTCGCAGCAGCGAGCCCCATGAAAAGAGCCTTTGTTCCTGTTCTCAGTGTTCCCGAGTTTCTCCATGCAAGACTGGCTGCAGTTTTACTTGGAGCAGTACCTCCGTTCTGCAAGGCTGTTGAGAACAGCAGGGTTAAGTGACAGTGGAGGAATTCAGGCTGCAGGTGTTCCAGCTTTGATGAGGGTCTTGCAAAATCTGGCCCTCAGACAAGGACTTCTTTTCTACCTTATCCATGCAAATGCATGGTCACCCTTGCAATTTAAAGGGAAGCTACTAGTTGTGAAGCGCTTCCAGCAGTCCCCCAACATAACCAGTGCTGGGAGTCTTTGGGCAACAACTTCCAGCTCATCCTGCATTTATCCCACGCATGTTCCCAGTAGCTTCTGACTGAGCCTCGTAGGTAAAAAAGACATCAAGGATGGCTACAATGGACACAGGCTTCTGGAGGCGGCAGGACAGCCACTGTCTTTCTGGCTGCTCTGCCCACGCCAGCGCCTGGCACTCTGGGCAGTGCCTGCGGCTCTTGCTCGCTCGTCCTGCTGCAAGCGTGGCTCTCTGCCCCCCTTTCTTCTCTCCCCAGTGGCAGGAGCAGTCTGGCTCTCACCACACCTCTTCTCTAGGATGCAAAGCTGCGGTGCTCTGTGCTGCTGGGATGATTAGGTCCAGAGGTGATCGTGATGCCTCGCTCGGTTCGAGTTCATCCTTTTTTTCCTCCTCGGCATAAACCGGGTTGTGCCGTCCCATGACAACGTTGCTTCTGTGCTGCAGGGAACTTCTGGATCTGACTTGCCGTCTTGCCAACACCCTGAAGAAATATGGGATACAGAAAGGGGACAGAGTGGCCATCTATATGTCCGTGTCTCCCTTGTCTGTGGCAGCCATGCTGGCTTGCGCCAGGATTGGTGCCGTTCACACCGTGGTCTTTGCTGGATTCAGCGCGGAGTCCTTAGCTGGGAGGATCATGGACTGTAAGTAGTGACAGTAGGGACGGTGCTCCAAGACTATCCCAATGCCGTGTTTTTGTGGCAGAAAGAGGAAAGGTTCATTCTCAGCTGGCAGGACAGTTCACTCTCCTTTGCAATGTACCGTGAAGAGCCTTTTCCTTAGTGGCAGATGCAGTATCCTCTGGCCTTAAAATACTTAATACATTCCTTAACATTCAGTCTGCACTGGGTTACTGCCAAGCAGCAGTGAAGCTGGAGGGAAAACCAGAGCTTAGGAATGGGGCCCGATTTGTTCTTTCGCAGTCTAATGGCAGTTTCTTTGATCCTCCTGCACTGCGCTAGTTCCGCAGTCCCGACTGTGGTACTGTGATTTATGTATAGCGCTGGAAGCGCTGGCAGCCTGCCCCTGCTCTGCTAGCCAGCGTACCAGCAGACAGAGCTGTTCTTACCCAAAGCATTTGTAGTGTTGTTAGGTAAAAGCTGATGCTAAAATTACCAGCAGAAGAACAAAATAGCAAGTGGCTGATGTGCGAACAGTCACATCCATTTCTTCATGGCTAGCGTGAGGGAGTGAGTCTTACAGCAAGTTCCATGCTTTTTTCCCATTTTAGTGGAGTTAATCTATAGAAAGCAAGTACATGTTTTAGTTATCCCTCACTTTTGGCCACCTGTGTGGAAGCGATGGGGTAAAGAGCCACTTCTCTGCAGCCCCAGCTCTGTAATAATGTGGTGTGGTGCAATTTGAAGCACTCTGCCGGAGCCCTGCTGCGTGCTGCGGCTTCCAGGAGGTTTCCCCTCAAGGTACGGGGGGGTTTCAGGAGGCTGCAGCTGTCTCAGAGCAGGGTAATGCTGCTGCGTTTGGTGCTCTGCAGTCTGCAATGGACACTTAGGTGCAGCCCCAGGGAGAGGATGGGAGAGGGGCAGACGTGCTTGGCCACAGGGGTCATGGAAAGTCTGGTGCTGGTTGCAGGGGGTGAGCTGTTAGGCTAAAGCAGCAGTATTTATTCGCTGTAACAGGTCACTGGGAAGAAACTGTTAGAAACTGCATTTAAACTGCAGTGAGTGATACTTAGGCTGGACATTGGGGAAGACTTTCTCATGTTCATGATAAGCATTGGAGTGGACTGGTAGGGAGAGGGTGGAATAGCTACCATTGGATCTGTTTTATGAAGATTAGACTGACAGCTTTCCGAAATGGTTTAGCAGGAGCAGGCCCTGCCTTGGGGAAGGGGGAGATGGACTGGATAACCCATGGAAGTTCCAGGTGTCCCTAATTTCTGAGGGGTCTCAGGTTTTAAAGTGCCTTTGTCAGTGACACTGACTGGTTTTGCTTGATAGAAGTTTTGAGTATTTGTCACACATGTTGTCCTATGCATCATTCCCAAAAGTAATGAAAGCAGGGTGCACATATTAGCCTGGAAGACAGGCTGGTACGTCTGCTAATTCTTTCTCTCTTTAGCTGGATGCAAAGCAGTTATCACCTACAACCAGGGAGTCAGGGGAGGCCGAATCATACAGCTGAAGACGACTGTGGACGAAGCTGTGAAGGACTGTCCAAGCATCAAACACGTCTTTGTGGCGCAGAGGACAGATAACAAAGTCCAGATGGGTGACCGTGATATTCCCCTTGAGGAGGTATGTTGGTGTTGGTAAACCTTGCCTGTTTCCCCTGATGTTTCTTGAAGTAGGGGATGTTTACTGTGCTGGGGGAGAGAAATATGGTACACTAATAAATACAGGGACCAGCTAACACAGACATCTCTGAGACCTGATGCAGGGCTCTTCAGAACACGTACGTGAGAGTCTTGCTGAATGTGTAGATCATGCACATTCTGGTACGTGGCTTTGGTCTTGGATTTGCTACAGCCGACGCTAAGAATCATCAGCCAAGGAAGACCAGGCAGTCTCCATACTTCCCTTCTGTATGTGTGCTGAGCTGAAAGTCTGTGAAGCAGCCACTGCACTGCAGCTTGGCACTCCAGTGTAGCTGCACCGGCCCTGCTAGTGGTGGCTAGCCTTTATGCTGTCTCTGGAGCAGGTTTTCAGTGTGTGCTGCTTTTCCCATGCTGCCACAGTTCCCTGGTAGGCTGACGGATACAGCTGAGTTGAAGTGACTGCATCTCTATGTCCCTGCGGTCTCCCAGCTCTGCAGACACCCACTGGCACTCTGGATAATTCATCTTGGGTGCGAGTGTTGGCTAGATCATCTTTCTCTCCATTGGACCTGAGTTTTGGGGGTTGAAAGAAGATGCTCCTGATGGCATCTGGATCTTCATCCTGAAATGGATGGCCTGTATTTACAGTCTGCTAGGATTGTGAGTCAAAGCAGCTCAATCTGTCTGATTCATCTCAGCATGGGCAGGGTGTAAGCTACTCCACTAGTAGTCTTGCAAACTTTAAGGAATGAGTGGATGTAAGGAATGAGAGAGTTTCAGGAATGAGTGTTTCCTGAGACCCAGAAAGCATGGATACCACTGCTGCTGCTGTTAGGCTCTGTTCAGACACCCCCTTACAGTTTGTCATATGGACTCTCAGCCTGGACACTGCTGAAAGTTGTGTCAGGTTGCCCAGAGATGTTGTGGATGCCCCATCCCTGGATGTCTTCAAGGCCAGGCTGGATGTGGCTTTGAGCAACCTGGTCTAGTGCAAGGTGTCCCTGCCTATGGCAGGGGGGTTGGAACTGGATGGTCTTTAAGGTCCCTTCCAACCCAAACCATTCTATGATTCTATGATTCTATGAAAGGCAGTGCAGAAGTCCTCAAGTTCCTGGGGAGGCTTAATAGAGCCTATGGACAGTGTCGTGGTCACCTCATGATGGGATGACAGTGATGGCTTGGGAATCTTTACAACCTGTGCTTCCTGGGGAAGAAAACAGCAGTTGTTTTAATGTGTTTAGCTGGTGCACAGGGGACGGCAGCCTAATGCAGAAGCAGTTTTATCAGTTTGCAGGCAGCCGTAAACAGAAACTGCTCGTGGTAATAATGCCTGGAAATCACCCATCTGCCAAGATAATTACTCAGGAGTCTCTGTGCTGGTCACATGAGATAGGAGCAACTACTAGGGTAAGATAAACGGAGAAGGCAGGTTTTATTTGGAAATTGTCCAACTCCTTGCTCCACAAAGCACATTCTGACGATTTTCCTTAGTCTGCAAACAACCTGAGGTCATCCAAGAGCTGAGCCCATTGTCAGTTGTAGGGTCTGAAATAGAACAGGAATTAAACCATTAATGCTGACAACTCTGTCATTTTTGGCCTTTACAGCAGTTGTGCTTTCCAGCTTTTGTGCAATGACTTACTGCAAAATTTAAGCTCATGTTGTAACGGAACACGTGAGAACTCCACCTTAGTTTCAAGAACTGGCAAGTCAGCCTGAACTGGCAGCGCTGAAATGTCACGATAAATACCTTAGATGGTAACTCGAGGCTAAGAATTACCTCTGACCCATATCAGCTCCTCATATCTTACTAAGCTTTGTTTGTCAGATACTTGCAAACAATTGGACCCGCCATTGGTAGTGTTTATTTGTAAATACATCGTGCTTGCTGTGTAGACTTGTAAAAAGGCAGTACCTAGAAATTCCTTCAAAGAGCCACCTAATAACCCTTGCAAGAATCGTTATTCATCTAGGACAGTACAGGACTTGAGAGAAGCAAACCAACTGTGCTTTTTTTTAACAGCCATATGTTGATCATCTGGAACACACAGTGATCATTGCAAGTTCGTACATGGATAAGAAAAATGTTTGCATCTGGAACACACAGTGATCATTGCAAGTTTGTACATGGATAAGGAAAATGTTCAACCTTGTCCTGAAAAATCTACAGTCTGGGCAGACAAGCTCTCTGCAACTACCAGGTTCAGTGGCCACAAGGACATTATTTCTTCGTCCTCTGCTGGCCTGGGCACACAAACTGGACCAAAAGTTTGCTGTGACCTTGTAGGACATTGCATCCTTCCCTCCTGTGCTTCTGACTGTAGGGGTGAGAAGATCTCACCTGCCTGGACAAACTGTGGAGTATGAGGAGAGTGCAGAGGCAGGAATATAAAGCACTCCTCTCCTGATGGGTAGAAGCAATTAGAGTTTGAGGATGAAATGGATAGGACAGTCATCCACAGCTGGGGCCAGGGAAGAGAGACCTTGGCACTGCAGTTTTAAAAGGAAAAGGAAGGTCCTCAGCAGTACCCAGGCAGTGTTGCTGCTGCTGTCAAGCATAGTTCATGTTTGCAGTCACACATCAGTTTTCTACCAGCAGCTTGCAAAGGCTTGAAATGTGACTAAGCTATGACCTACTATTTTTTTCCTGAAACGTTTTTTTAGCTGTCCAATTTCTGCTCCTAGCAGAGGTATTGGTGGAAAGGCTAGGTGCTATGCATCCACAGGAATCTTTCCACTAGGTAAGCACATATAATCCATGATATATCCATGGACATTTGTGAAGGGGCCACAGAAATAGTGGTTCTTGTCTCTGGACACTGCTGGCATGCTTACAGATGGAGTATTGGTTGGCTCCCTGTAGCCAAAGTCTGTCTGTCATTGCCACCTTTTTTTCCTTAGGAGATGGCCAAGGCAGCTTCTGTATGCACTCCAGAGAGCATGGACAGCGAAGACATGCTTTTCATGCTGTATACCTCAGGCAGCACTGGGAAACCCAAAGGAATCGTTCACACCCAGGCTGGATACCTGCTGTACGCTGCTCTCACGCACAAGGTAACTCAGCTGCATCCTCTGGCAAAGGCTTACTCACCTTCTGCAGTACTAACAAGAGGGACTTGGGCTGGTGAGGGGCGCTGTATTCTGTGTTCGCTGCCCACTTGGCTTAGTGGGTGTAAACAAACTGAAAAATGCCTGAGAACATGTAATTAACCTTCAGGATTTGTTCCTGGGGAATATAAATACTATGCAAACCAGAGCCTAGAGTTATGAAAGTACGTAAACTTCAGTGCTGCTACTTTTGCATTTCAAATGTGCTAGTGTTGCAGGCCAGAATTTGCAGATAGTAAAGAGATGCAGCTGGTAGGTATCTTATTGGCATTCATAATGTGGATATTACTGTGGTATTTTGCAGTGGGATGCTGGCCTTTTTTCTTTCAGAGAGGATCTGGACTCTTAAAACAACCTCTTTCCATAGCACTTGTTGTCTGAAGAGCAAAAATCACATTCATGCTCTGCAGTTGCACCTTTGCGCTGCTTTTTTTCTGTGATCTATGCTAAACGCTTTAACCTCCTTTCTCATGGTAAAAAAAAAAAAAACATCAAGGCACTGCTTCTTGAAGCTTCTGGTCTGAGCTCTGCATAGGAAAAGGTAGCAGTGAAATGTGGAGAGGACTGCGGTGAAAGATCTCCATCTGGCTTTAGTGGTATCACCCTGTCTGTAAACACACACGATTCAGGCAGAGGTTTTCTTTCTTTAGGATGACACAGTTGATTTTTTTAGAAGATTTGAATGTGCAAGTGTCAGACTTCTCTGCATGAAGGGTATTTGTTACGTCAGCTTTTCTGAGTGACAGTGTAATCTCCAGAGCATCTCTCTCTTAGTCCAGAAGGTAGATCCTGCAGCCGGTGCAGACATGCAGGAGGCACTGTGTGTAGCTGTGGTCCCTTTAGAAGTACTTCAGAGAGGGAAAGGCATGTGGAAAAGTGAGGTGAGAATTGGCTCTCCTAGGTAGAGGGATCACCTGACCTTAGTGGCCTTGGTGGCCTTTGCACTCTCATGTGTGACACTTGTCACACACTCGTGGGATTCTCTTTTAGTTCTGATCCACTTTCTTTCATTTAAAACATACAGCTGACTGTGCCTTGTGAGTCAGGACCTCTTCACCATACGGTAGAGGAGATAGATTTACAGTGGGAAGCATTTCCCATAACCAAGATAAGATAATGAGCTATCCAAAATCTTTATCTTGAATTTGATGAGCAGGGAGAGGGTAGCTTTGTTGCTTCAGTCTGAGGAGCTGCTGGTACAGCCCTGCTCCCTATACATTTGCAAAAGCAGCCAGGAGCCTGGAAGCCCTGGCACTGGTCCCTCTGACTTGCTTCCTCACCTTGGGCTGGCCCTCGTGCTGCTCTGCCCTGCGTGCCTGGCTCCGCTTGCCCTGTGCCCATCCTGCTCCCAGTTGGATGTCCAGTGCAGCACCTTACCTTTCAGATCTTTGCCAACAGAAAGCCAGCTGGCCTTACGTTTATCTTTGCAGTATGTATTTGACTACCAGCAAGGTGATGTTTTTGGCTGTGTGGCTGACATTGGTTGGATCACAGGACATAGCTATGTCGTGTATGGACCACTCTGCAATGGAGCCACCTCTGTCCTGTTTGAAAGCACTCCGGTCTACCCTGACCCAGGTGAGGAAGTGGTGGGCAAAGGTTTGGCTAGAGATGGCAGTAGGACAAAGGAGATTTTGAAGCCTGTCCAGTGTGAACTGCCTGCTCAGGGGATGTATGCTCCATTTCTTTGGAATATGTGGCTGTATCATGAGAGCCAACCGTATCCTGGGCTGTATCCAGAGAAGCATGGCCAACAGGTTTCTCATCTGCTCTTGTGAGACCCCACCTGCAGTGGGGGTCCAGCTCTGGGACCCACAACACAAGAAGGATATTGACCAGTTGGAGCGAGTCCAGAGGAGGCCATGAAGATGCTCAGAGGGCTGGAGCCCCTCTGCCATGGGGACAGGCTGAGAGAGTTGGGCTTGTTCAGCCTGGAGAAGAGAAGGCTCCGGGGAGACCTTATAGCACCTTCCAGTACCTGAAGGGGCTACAAGGAAGCTGGGGGGGACTTTTGACAAGGGCCTGTAGTGACAGGACAAGGGGTAACGGGTTTAAATTGAAAGTGGGGAGGTTTAGGTTGGGTATCAGGAAGAAATTCTTCCCGGAGAGGGGGGTGAGGCACTGGCACAGGTTGCCCAGAGAAGCTGTGGATGCCCCATCCCTGGAAGTGTTCAAGGCCAGGCTGGATGAGGCTTTGAGCAACCTGGTCTAGTGGAAGGTGTCCCTGCCCATGGCAGGGGGGGAGGAACTAGATGGTCTTTAAGGTCCTTTCAAACCCAAACCATTCTGTGATTCTATATGTGTGTCTGCCACGTTCAGGAACATCTGTGCACCCAGGTGAAAAAGAAAAACCTAGTTGCCATTGGTTTTGCTCAGTACTGACAGTAGTCACAGCTTTAGCTTTGGCTGTTAACCTTTTTTTTGAGCATTTGCAGCGGTATGTTGGTGCTAGATGGATAAAATGCCTGTTTGTCATTTTACAGGTCGTTACTGGGAAGTGGTACAAAGGTTGAAAATTAATCAGTTTTATGGAGCACCTACGGCCATACGCTTGCTGCTGAATTATGGAGAAGAGTGGGTGAAGAAATACGACAGATCTTCCTTGAAGACCTTGGGGTCAGGTAAAGGGTGTGAAATCTTCATCTGGAAAAGACAGAGGGTTCTAGCTGGTGGAATGAAGGTACCAGAGGAACTTGGCTGACCACATAGGATGTGGTTAAAAACACATGATCAAGCAGGCTCCCTGTCTGCTTTTCAGATATTTTCTCAGCAGAAAGAGAAACAAACTGAAGTTGGGGCCATTGAACCTTAGTGTGATTGCCGGTTTCCTAGGTTTTGTTTTGCAGGATCACATTCTTTGCTAAAAATATTTATCCAATGGTAAATGACCTCACTCTGAATTTTACTGCTCTAGGTGACCCAAGCAGTGTTTTCCTGCATTGTTTAGGATTCTAGAGGTTCTTATACATGACCTGCATTGATTAGTTACTTTCAGTGATATTTATTGCTTGCCTTTGGACTTTCTGGAAATAGTCCTCAGTTAAATGAGTACATTGCAGTCCTTTGCAGGTTGTAAACCAGGACAACATCCCAGAAAAAATGTCATAAGCATTCTGCTTAAAGATCATGCCTTCGGCCTGTTGTGCACCAAAAGGGAGAATGAACTGCCTCCAACCCCCTGAGTCTCAGGCTGCTTCCTTTCTTGTTTTGGTCTAGTGGGAGAGCCCATCAACAATGAAGCATGGCAGTGGTTCTATCACGTGGTGGGAGAAGGGCGCTGCACACTCGTGGATACGTGGTGGCAGACAGGTAAAAGGCATCTTCGGGGAGTGTGGGAGCCCTGACTGTTGGCAGGGTGCTGATGGGTAGAGAGGGATTAGTACATTTCAATTTGATCCAACGAATCTGTCAAGAAAAAACAAACAAAACCCCTCCTGGCATTTTGATCAGCTTTTGAAAGTCACTGGGGAGTTTCAGCACATAACAGCAGTGTAACAGCGTATAAAAGCAATGGCAATGTTGGTTTGTTTTTTTTTTTTTCCCCTCTAAATGCTCTTTGTATTTTGAATGCTGGAAAATCTCAATTGGTTCTAGAAACACGAGGCAAAGATTGAATTTCTGGGCAAAGCGGGGAGTACACAGCTTGAACTGGAAATCTCATTTTCAATTATTTATCCAACCGTACTGACCTTGATACGGTCTTATCATGAAAAGGCATTTATAGCACCGTATAGGCATGGTCTGTACTTAGGTGTGCTTTGTTTCCCTGCCTGGGAACGGTCAGAGGAGGGTGGAAAACGAAGCTGTGTAGTCAAAGCGACCTGGCACGACTGCTCCGGTGTGTTGGAAAGGAGGGAGTGCAGGGTTGCTGGCTGTGCCTCACGTGGGCAGTGGCTGTCACCCAGCAGCGCTGCCTGGGAGCAGCTTCTCCCAGGAGTGAAGTAGGTGCTGTAGGTGTGGGCACCAGTTGAGGCCTGTTTTCCATTTACAACCTGCTGGACAGAGTGACTGGCTCTCAGATCCCCGTCCAGTTGGACCAGAGCTGGTCCCTGCCGCCTGCCCTCCATGGCCAGCAGCGGAGAGAGGGGGAGCACTCTGGGGCTGTGCTGCCTGGTGGGGCTCTGCGTTGAAGGAGCCCTGCAGCTCCTTCCTCAGCACCCGGTCCTCTCTTCTGGGCACCAACATTGGAGAGCTGCTAAGGGTGTCGTGCACCATGTCGTTCTCAAGTCAGGAATCAGAGTTTGCCACGAAGCCATGCACTTCAAGGATGCAGCACAGCTGCTGGAGTTCTGCCTCTGCTGAAAAAAGCCATCCCTGCTCAAACTTCTAGCTGCCATTGGGCAGAATATTCATTCCCTTTCCAGTCAGGCTGCTCCCGATTTCATCCTTATTCCTGCTAGCAAGCTCTCTTTTCAGGATCCCTGTGGCCTATCTCAGTGTGATGAATTAGCTTCTGGCACACAACCAAGTTCCATTTAATCCAGACCAGACTTGCAGACTCTTTTCATTTTCGGATTTGAAATAAAACAACCTCAGAATTCAGAGCAGCAGTGTTAACTACTATCTGCTTTGATTACCGATCTCTTCAACCATCTGGGTTCTCACATGCTGAGCAGAAGGAACGCTGACTGGCTAGGTGCTAGGTGCCTTCCTCCTCACTGCTCTGAAGTGAAACACCATGGAGAAGCAGTTGATTACTGTACGATGACAGAGTTGAGAAGAATAATGTTTTTGCCCTAACATGTTCTTGTTTGTCTTCAGTTAACTGGTGCATGCAGTGTTCATGCAGTGTCTTCTATTTCCCCTGAAGTATAGGGTTAGATCTTCTATTAAACTGTATTTCTGCTAGGTTTTTGGATCACCAACTGTCAGGTGAGAGGTTAAAGACCATTTGCTGGACAATCTGTAAGTGCAGAGGTCTTGATCTTACCTTGAACCAGGCCTTTGGCAGGTAAATTGTTCCCAGCTCCTGGAAGCATAATATAAATATTCATTAAATATATTTTGTTAGAAAGTAAAATCAATCTTTCTCCACAGTTGATGCTTCCAATAAAGAGGAAGCCAATTTAATCTTGGCAACATTATATACGCTATCTGAATGTAAAAGGAGCGTGGAAAGAGGTCGTAGAAACAGTTTGATGGATGCTGGTTGTGGTCCGGCGGTGTCACCTCTCGTATATGATTTCAGTACAGCTTGTCAGTTGTGCTGTCGTATGCAGTGTCCTCCACGCTATGTTGCTTTCCGAAGCAACAACGTGTTGCCAGCTACTAAAGCCTGGTAGGCATGAAGATCAGCAAATGGTGATCTAAGAATCCGCTTGAAAGTCTTTGGATGAGCCAATTAGGGAGGTAGCAATTATGAGAAGCAATTTAAGTAGTGTGGTATGTGCAGATGAGAGAGGTGAAAAATTCCTGTGGCTCTTACTGTTAGAATATTAGGTAGTGCTGTGCTGTGATTGACAGTAATAGAGTCAAAGCAGTGTTTGAGTTTCAGGTGTATTCTTCACAGTGCGGAAGAGACATTAGGTATTTTTACTTTTGCTGTTGGTTTTATAAAGAAAGTACAGCTGTTTTATGCAGCTGTGAACAAAAGCTGGTTTTGAGAGACATCTCTGAATAGGCCCTGGAAGCTTTTGTTGTTGGCATCATCTTACAGCGATTTAGACTGGGCTGGTGCTCCTGAGATGGGTTCCCCCGCAGCAGTCAGTCCAACCTATCTGTGGTGGTGAAGATAACAGTGACAGAGGGTACACGCTCCACCCTGCTGCCAGGGATGATTTACCCACGGCACAGGGGACCCTGTTTTGATGCATCACTCTCCCTGCACAGACTCTGCTGTCCTTGCTTGAAGGCTGGGTGGATTGGCACTACGATGACAGCGTGGGCACCGATAACGTGGAAGTGGGGCTTTGCTTCTTCCAGCTCTAAAGAGACAGACTTCGTAAGGGCAGGGTAGAGCCCAGAATCCATGCCAGCTGTCATCTGTCAGTGGCTAAAAATGGTACATTTAAACCAGTTTAAAATAGGTCTTTACCATGCAAATAAGTTTTAAAGCACCCTCACCACCATGCAGCTCCCTCTGGAATGTGACTTTACTGCCTTATGGTTAGCTGGCTGCAGGATGTGTAGTGTAGCATGTGACAAAACCCATGTTGAAACATAGCTTGCAGTGCTGTGTTCAGAACGAGTACTGCCAGGAAGAGCAACCAACAGTTTAATCAGGTTCCCTGCTCTGATGCAGGTTTTCTCTGAACAAACAGAGAACAGCAGGTGTCTGGGGTGCTTTTTTGTTTTTCTGAAAAAAATTCAAGATGACCCTTTCAAAATAAACAGAAACATGTGAAGTGGATGCACGTCCATCAGTGAAATGTGAAATAATTTTATGTGTAAGCCCTTTCAAAATAAACAGAAACATGTGAAATGGATGCATGCCCATCAGTGAGTTGTGAAATAATTTTATAATTATGTTCATATTATGCTTCATAATTATATGTTCATATAATTAGGCTTCAGTGTAAGCCTGAAGCAACTATTTTCTTCAGGTCTGAAGCATAGGGCTCCTCGAAGAGACTCTTCCTCATAGCTACGACAGGGCAGCTGGATGCAGATTCAGCCTTTCCAACCCCTCGTTTCAGTTTTCACAACCTCAGCACAGTGGCAGAATATACCTTTATTTTCATACATATATATATATATATACCTTTATTAGGCTGTATTTTCAAAAGCCTAATACCCCTTTGGTTTTGTTTCTATCCTGTGTTTCTGGATTAGCTTCAGAATAGAAAAGATCTGATTAAGGTTGGAATCTGATTTAATGTTAATTTATATTATGTTAATGTTATTATTTATTTAATGTTAATTCCAGAAGGAATGAAAAAGAATGATTAAAAGGTTCAATTTTGCACAGAAGATGAGCTCAACCTGCCTGTAAGGGGTGGCTTAGTCTCATACTCTGTAATAATAGTAATTCAGACTCCTGAAGTGCTTTTCCTGCTAACCTTAGCTGTAAAAACAGCACCAGGAGATAAATCCACTGACATGTTCATATTTTCCCTGTAAAATCCCATTTGGGGTAGGGAATGGGGCTGCCTGCATTCGTTGCTAGCTGGGAGCTGGAGCAATGGGTTTATATGTGAGCTGGCTCAGGGTTGGATGGAGGGAACAGAGCACACGGGCTGAATCCATACGGCCTGCACGGTGCCCGATGATGGACTTGCCGTGGACGGGACTGTGGGAAGGCTGTGGAATGCACCCGTTGTGGCTGCTGCAGGATCCACAGGGCGTCTGGTGCAAGGCCAGCTGCTGTGGAACCGTGCGCTGCTCTGAGCCTTCGGAGAGCTCAGCCAGATGTTGGCAGTTCTCATGCTCTGGGGCACGGCCATGATCTGTGGGTTGTTACTGGTGTACGTGGGGGGCAGTGACTTCAGCCAGCGCTGAATGAGGCACCCTGCAAACAGGGAGTAGGAGTAGCTCTTGATCCGAGCTCACCAGGGGGAGACCTGCTTGCAGTGTCCCCTGGGGACAGAACAGGCCTTGGTGGTGTTATCCTGGCTTGCCAGATGTTTTTCTGTGTTTAAGCCTTCCTTGTATTCACAAAAAGCTCTTGGTTTATCAGGTCTGTGCTGCTTTCAGATGGCTGTGCTACTTGGTGTTGCATAATGCCTTCCCAGTGCCTTTTTCTTGCAAGGTGACTTTGTTGTTCTCTTCGTTAACTAAGAAGACACGGCATTTGCTTTCATCCAGCACTGGATGGACCCCACATATTCTATTTTTCATTATTCTTCCAGAAACTGGTGGCATCTGCATTGCCCCACGGCCTTCAGAGGAGAAAGCTGAGATCGTTCCGGCTATGGCTATGAGACCTTTCTTTGGGATCGTGCCTGTGCTGATGGATGAGAATGTGAGTTGAGGATGTGCTGGGTGCCCAAGGAGAGGCTGGTGTGTGTTTCTGCCTTAATCACCTTTCTGATGGCAGAAGAACAGGATCCAGAAGGATGTTTGTTCCTCCATTAAGATGGTAGAAGAGATGAACAGCAACTTATGTATTGAGCATCTCTCAGATGACCATACAGGTTGCCAACTGGGCGTTGCAAGCTAATCACCTTTCTGATGGCAGAAGAACAGGATCCAGAAGGATGTTTGTTCCTCCATTAAGATGGTAGAAGAGATGAGCAGCAATTTATGTATTGAGCATCTCATACAGGTTGCCAACTGGGTGTTGCAAGCTGTCTGCAAATCTCTATAGGAGAGTTTGCATTTTCAGCACCACTTTTATGGTCCTGCACTGCTTCTGATTAAGAGTTGCTGCTTCCGTTTCTGCGAGAAGTCGGAAGTCGCACAGCTTCTGGGAACCAGGGAGCTGAACAGTTAGAGCCGTGCGTGCAACATCCAGTAACGTGGCAAGACTGGAGAGGCCAACGGGACTAGTGGAGTTTTCCAAGGGAAATGCAAGGCACGAAATGCATTTCCGTGAGGCCCTGCAGCTGAACGTGCTGGTGCTGGCCTGGGAAGCTGTGCAGAGCAATCCTCATCTGCACTCCAGTGCTCTGTTAGACAGTCCAGTGTGTGATCTCCTCCAAATACAGTTGGTAAGGGTATGTGGCCATTAACAGAAGGGAAAGTGGAAGTCAGGAGTCCAGGCATTTCCCTGCTAGCCTCATTCCAGGCACATCCTTTGGCTACTTGGCACATCTTTGCTGGCATCTTTGCTGGCATTGCCCTCTGGGGAATCACAGGACTCACTTTTCTTACAGTCTTACCCGCTGTGCTGCTGGCCTCAAGGGGTGAGGAAGGCATGATACAGTCAGTGCGTAGTAGCTCCGTGCGTGGATTCACTTTCTCCACCTGTGGCCCTGCCCTGGCTGCCTGCAGTGAACAACAGGGTGACTCTTGCCAGATCAATGACACAGAAACCCTTTCTATTCCTATTTTGTTCACCTCATCATCCTCTGCTTGAACCTGCAGGGAAAGGTTATAGAGGGCAATGATGTGTCCGGTGCGCTCTGCATTGCCCAGCCATGGCCTGGCATGGCAAGAACCATCTATGGAGATGACCAGCGATTTGTTGATGCCTATTTCAAAGCCTACCCAGGTAAGGAAAGTGCCAAGGGAAGGCAGTTTGCACTGCAGTATAAGCACACTGAATATTTTCAGCAGCACTATTTCTTTACCAGCCAGATCTTGGTTGCTTGGGGTTATGTCACATGTTGCAAGCATGCACTAATGGTGTTAACGCCCAAATTTTAAAGACCAAACACCTTTTCTTTAGGACCGCCTGTGTCTCACTTGGAAATAGGCATATTGAATGGGAAAGTACCTCCCGCATCACTGATTCTCACTCCCACTCTCACAGACCGTGTTACATCCTTCCTTTTTAAAACATGCTCAGGTTGTATCTGGCAAGTAATTAGAAGTGGCAGGGAAACATTTTTCTTTGTAGGAGATTGGCCAAGACCACTGTCTTCACTCAGGGCAGCAACTGAAAGGGATTTGAAAGCTGGAAGGTAGACAAGAATTAGGGAGGCAATCCTGCAAATTGTACAAAATGGGATGGAAAATAAAAGGGGAAACTGGTAGAAGAAATAGAATGACTCCATAGTCCTTTATTACTCACTACATGTTTGCATCTGAAATCTTGTTCAAATTCAGTTGATAGTTGTTTAATGGATTTGGAAAGGCAGGAGACGTGACGGAAGGTCCATGAATTGGCCAATAATGGGTCCTGGCAAGAACCACCTTCAGATTTCAGGCAGCACTAGCTGCCTGCTGCAGCTCAGAAGTGCCACAGCAACAATTCAGATGCAGACGTGGCTTTGATGAAGAGCCAACACAATCTGTGTCACCAGATGTGTCCTCAGTGACACTGGTGTTTCCTGGAGCCACTGGGTCTTTTTCCGTTTCCATCATGTGTTTTAGACCCTTCAAACACCCTCCTTATGGGGGGCGGGGGGAGGTGTTAGCTAACATGATAGCAGTGTTTCTGCCATGCTCATATGATGGAGAGGGGCTGTTTTCTGGGATCTGAATCTTTGTTAGGCAGTAGGAAAAATGGCTTTTCATCCATCCCAGTGTAAGTGATTTAACAAAATGGCAGTGTTCCCATGTAAAAAATGTAATAGAACTGCTCCCTTTCAGCCGAACAGTTGTAGTTTTCCATGAGTGCTGAGGTGTAGCTACCATCAGACCTGACTTTGACCAACAGCCTATGGCACGATGGCAAATGGCCTATGAAGTGGTTTCCTCTTCGTGCTGTGTGCACCAGTCCCGAGCACACAGCTGCTGTGAGCCGCAGGCGTGTAAAGCCTGGGGAGGTCAGAGAGACCCCCTTGGTTCTGTAAATCCAACAAAGCATCGCTGTGCTGTGTTGCCAGACTTGGTTTTACTACAGGGACATCAGCTACTGGTTGCTGCTATGGTGATTTTGCCCATCTTGGCAGAGATGTGAGCTCCCTTGTTTTGATGCTGCTCGGGTGCTTACTGGGAGCCAGCAGAGCGCAGGCAGAGCAGACGCAGGCTGGAGATGGCAGAGGGAAGTGGGAAATGGTGTGTGGCAGGTCAGGCAGCTGTAAGCTTAGGAGGTCCTGCGAGCTGCCCGACCCACCCTACCCTACTTGCCATCCTAGAGCGTAGTCTGTTCTGCGTCAGAGCCCAGAGCAACAGGCTGGCACAGTTCCTGCTGCTGACTGCCCGTGTGCCTTTGCTGCAGGTTACTACTTCACAGGGGATGGTGCTTACAGGACCAAAAAAGGCTATTACCAGATAACGGGGCGCATGGATGATGTCATCAACATCAGCGGACACAGGCTCGGGACGGCAGAGATAGAAGATGCAATGGTAAGTTCCAGGCAGGTAGAGGTCCCTCGGTGGGGCATTATCTGTCCAAACCGCTGCCCCTGCGTACACGCAGCTTGATGCGTCATGACTAGCAGCTGTGCAGAAGGAAACAGCACCCTTATTGAGGAGACAGGGAATGGGCAAGTGAGAGAGGAGTCACAGCGTGGGCAGTCCCTGTGGTCAAACTGTCAGAGCTGTGTTTCCTCTCAGGGATGTTGTACTGTTGCAGTACTAATTTGGGATGCTGGTGGAGCCTCCATAAGGGATTGTCTCTCCTGTTTGTTCCTTCCCCTCTGCTAACACCTAACCTCTTGCTCGTCTGAACTGGCTGAGCATGCCTGAGCATTCGGCAGTGTTAAATATGAAGCAATCTTGATTCATGTCAGCTGCAAAGCTAGCCTGTCATTTTGAGAGAAAATAATATTAGCTCAGGGAATTGAAAACAAAAAGTCCACAGAGCATTTATCTTCAAAGCTTGACCTGAATATTTATTTCTATATTATGTGCCTTGCCTGCAAATGGCACTTAAATGTAACATTTGATAAACCTGAGCTGTGTTCGCATGGCACACAGGATCCTGCTTTCTCCTCAGTAATTATTTTGTCTGTGCGGGTTTCTGATCACAGATACAGGATCCAGTTCCTCTCCCACTCTATGTATGTGTATGCATGTGTGTATATACAAATGTATTTATATGCTTAGATTGCTCTGTGATGTTTTCTATCTTAACCTAATTTAAGATAGCATAATCCAGTCCTTGGTGTGGGATTCAGTTATGCAGTTTCTTCTGTTCTGCACACCCAAATTGTCTTCTTACTGCAGAAGAACGTTAAATTAAACTCTGAAGTGTGACAGAATAAAGCACTGTTGTGTAGCGCAATAATAAAAATATGCATTTGGCAAAACAATCCTCCCCCCCTTCTGTGAAGATGGAGAAGCTTGATTCTTTCTGCCTTCCGGTGTGCTTCAGGCACTTAAAAACACCAGTCCTGGCAGCTTCGCTTTTGCTCTGCTGGCAACGTTCCCCTGTGGCACAGAGCAAGGCAGGACTGGTTTTGCTTGCCATTTGGCCATGGCCAGTCACCACTTGGGATGGTAGCCACACACCAACAGGAACACAGGCAAAGAAAGAGAAAGCAGATTTCCAGCTGGTGCAAATGCAGCTTGGCACTGAATAAGAGTACTAATTTGTGTGTTTAAAAGCAGGACAAATCCAGTGAGTAAATGCTGCTCCCAGAGCATGGCCCTGGCTGTGCCCACCAGCCATGCGGTAGGAAGGGAGCATCCAGTCTTTCCTTGTCTGCTTTCAGCAGGGTCTGCCAAGGGGAGGCTGAGAGATGGCAAGGAGCTTTGTTCCTAGAGAAACTGGCACAAACTCTGCATGTCTTGAATCAGTTGTTATGCTCTGTGTGTATTTTTGTTTCACTTTTTGTGAAGGCTGATCACCCTGAGGTCCCCGAGACAGCTGTGATTGGATATCCGCACAAGATCAAAGGAGAAGGTATGTGAAAAGCAGTGTCCTGACATGACACCTACGTACGCTTCCCTTAATTTCTAATGTGGGCTGAGTGTTAGGAGGTGCCTAGGGAATGGGAGGGGGTTATCCTTAGGTTGACTGGCGCTGCAGCCCCAAGAGGCAAAGACAGCCATGAAAATAACTGCATGCTCCTAAGCTGGGTGCAGGTATTACTTCCTAAACTGTTTTGCACATAGTGTTTGCATATGTGGTAGAGCTTCCTTTAAAAGGATTGTGCTCAGAGACGTCCTTTGAACGGAATGGGAACAGCTGATTTGTGTCATCCAGCTTTTGATCCGAGTGTCACTTTGGTAATTTACGTGGTCATTGTCACTGAGATCGGTCTGGTCCATAGATGCCAAGACAAGGCTGGGCCATCATTTGAGGGTTGGAATCTGACAGCCTTTTGTAAACAGGGTCTATCATTTCCTTGGCAGTCCCTAGATTGCACTTAGGAATGATTTGAAACCTGCCTTGGCATTCGAATGAGCATTCCTGGTCTCGCCAGCCAGGATCTAACAAGAGGTATGTGGCTTCTGCTCATTTGCCTTCCAGGTGCCTTTGCTTTCATAGTGCTAAAGGAGCAGACAGCTCATATAGACCGTGTCAAAGAAGAGCTCAAAACCATAGTGGCTTCCAAGATAGCAAAATATGCTGTGCCTGACCACATTCTGGTAAGTGGGGGACTATAACTGGTACCAGGAGCGGGAATGGTCACACTGAGCAAGCCTTGCCTTCCTGCCTGCAGTGCTGCTGTTGTCCCTCTCTGGCAGGATGAAGAAGCAGGAAAACAGAATCATAGAATCATAGAATGGTTAGGGTTGGAAGGGACCTTAAAGATCACCTAGTTCCAACGCCCTGCCATAGGCAGGGACACCTTTCACTAGACCAGGTTGCTCAAAGCCTCATCCAGCCTGGCCTTGAACACTTCCAGGGATGGGGCATCCACAGCTTCTCTGGGCAACCTGTGCCAGTGCCTCCCCACCCTCTCCAGGAAGAATTTCTTCCTGATACCCAACCTAACCCTCCCCACTTTCAATTTAAACCTGTTACCCCTTGTCCTGTCACTACAGGCCCTTGTAAAAAGGCCCCCCCCAGCTTCCTTGTAGCCCCTTCAGGCACTGGAAGGGGCTATAAGGTCTCCCCAGAGCCTTCTCTTCTCCCGGCTGAACAAGCCCAACTCTCTCAGCCTGTCCCCATGGCAGAGGTGCTCCAGCCCTCTGAGCATCTTCGTGGCCTCCTTTGGACTCACTCCAACTGGTTGATATCCTTCTGATGTTGTGGGTCCCAGAGCTGGATGCAGCACTCCAGGTGGGGTCTCACAAGAGCAGAGTACAGGGGCAGACGTACTGCCAGTCTTAGGACAGTTCAGCCAAATTTCCTTGTGGTTTCCAGCAGGACCCAGGTGCTAACGTAGGTGTGTCTTTCCCTTCTCTGCAGGTGGTGAAACGGCTTCCTAAAACCCGATCTGGGAAGATCATGAGAAGGCTGCTAAGGAAAGTAGTCACTGAACAATCAAGCAACATGGGAGATACCACCACACTTGATGATCCAAGTGTTGTTAAGGAGATACTAGATGCTTACCAGAAATACAAGGAGAAGACTTCCTCCTAACAGGCAGCTCCGCAATCTCTCTACTTCGGAAAGGTGGAAGGTCTCAAATAACTAGGCGAATGACATAGCTCTCTCTTGGTGTTTTTTTAAAAACTCTGTTCCCTTCTAGGGAACAAGATTTCCCGCTCCACAACACATTCCGAGACGCACAGCACTAGGAGCAATCTGCAGTTTTGCACAGTCAGTGAGCTCCCTTTCATTGCATTTAGGGCTGTTGTAGAGCATCATTGGTAGTTTCCATTAGCTATGATGAAATTTAATACTAGCTGAAGCAAGATGCAGACATGAATGTTTCTCATTTTAATGTTACTGTACAGAGTACAGTAGAGAGAAATGTTTTTATAGAACATTTTTGCTGTTTTAAAAGAAGCCGGGGAATACACTTCTTCAATTTTTCCTTCAGCTTGGATATCTGAGTTCAAGTAGCTGTATTTCACTGCAGCTGTGGTGCCTTTTCAGCAATGCTGGGTATTTTAGTAGATGTTTCACATGTGTTAGTAGGGAAATGAGGGGGACATGGCTAGTCTGATAATTCTTCCTTCTGTTCACGCAGTTGTTGTAATACTTCCTTCGACTTTCCTCATAAGGATTTGTTCCTACCACTATATGTCCTGGGACTTGCCAGAGATAGTGAGCCTGTGCCCCTTCGTGTCCCACCTAGGCAACCCAGCGCTCGCCTTCCAGCTGCAAAACTGAGCCACAAAGCCTACCTACCGCTGGACTTCCTACTGAATGCACTGCCAGTTCCGTAGGAGGGGTCTGGTCCCACATGTTTTTATTCTGCCTTGAGAAACTGGGATCACCAGCTGGGCTTTTAAAGTGAGTGTCCTCTTCTTCATTGGTGATGTCAACTGGATCGAGGTTATTCCCTGTGATTCACTTCCGCATGTTAGAAGTGGTCATCTGCAACTGGTAGTTCTTTGTTGCCAGCTGGTGATTTCTGTATGTGCCTTTGTTTCTTGAAGTCACTATGAAAAGGGATGATGTTTGCTCGATGTCTGTCTGAGAAGCATTGGGAAACAAAATCCTGAGGTGCTCAAGAGGGGTTGGAAGCTGAGAGGTGTGCTGGAGGGTTCATTGTGACTTGCTGGACTGCATGATTTCTGACCAACGAATGGTGGTTTTAGCCCACTCCCAAATGGCCTGTAATCTTGTTTGCTCCAACAAAGACAGGCACCCAGTTTGGAGGTAGGCTGGTTCTCCTGTCAGAATTTATGACTTCGTCCTTATTGTTTCAAGTTGGGCCCTACCACGTCTGTCCCTTCCGCATGCTGCCGTGCTGATCTTCTGAAGTTAAGTGCCAGGTGGGCACCCACAAATTGCACAACCCACAAAGAAGAAGGAAGTGTCTCTTAGATGCCTTCTGGAAAGTGATGGTAGCATTCCAGACCAGCAACCTCAGAATAGCCAGGAACAACCGCCTTTGTCATTCATATCCTATCAAAACGGCAACTAATATAGTCAGTGTTTTATTTCAGGACTTGTTTTATCATGAACACATTTTGATTGAAGCACTCCTTTTATTTGGGCTGTTCAGAAGAATTTGCTAGTAGGTCTCCTGTCTCCTACTACGCCACTGAAGGTCATGGAAAAGCCTGCAGGTGCCGAATGCTTTTGCGACTTCTGCCACTGCTGAATTTGGATTAAGCTGGCTCAGGTGTTCAGAGTGGTCAGAGGGGCCACCAAGCATGCCAGGACGGCATAGTAGAGGACTGTCCCCCTCTCCATGGGTGCAAAAGCTGAAGGTATACACCAGCATAGTGTACACAGAGCTGATCCTGGGGGGGTGTGCCACAAGGGTTCAGGCAGAACTTCTCCATCTTAACCTGCCTAAGCCAAGTGACTGCTAACCACCATTCCAGTGCTGCAGCTAGGGGCACTCCATCAAACCTGGCAGTCCTGACTCTGTCCTTCTCAAATGACAGTGCTTAGTTTCACAGAGCTGTGTGTTTTTGACCAAACCCCTGAGTAATTGGAAAATTTGCCAATTTTTGCTCTAGTTTTACAGGGGTGATTTATTGATGAATTTAACTGGAGCAGCACTGCCTTTTCCAGTGTGACTGTGTACTGGAAAGACAATCTTTGCACCTACCTGGAGGCAGGAAAGGCAGGAAGGAAATGGCTAGGTGATCCTATAAGATTGGGTGTGGTGAAATTTTTTGGTGAACAGAGATTTTGGTACCAAGTGGGGATGCAGGCTGTTTGCAGTATGATGTGTTCTCAAAGACAGGCGCGTTGTCTGAGATCCCAGAGGTCCTCCGAGTACACTAGATGCATTTGCTGCTGCTTCTTTTTTTTTTTTTTTCTTTTTAATCTAAGTGTTTCTAGGGACTAGGTAATACAGTAGGGAATACCATGCTTAGTTAAAATTCCCATCCTTCTGACTGCAATCCATTTTTGCTTAAGGTAAGTAGACACCCTGTGGACTTTGTGGGAAATTGAAGATCAAAAGGTTTGATAGAGTTGGCAAGACGTTAATATTTTAGGAGTCAGCCACTACCTGTATCCTCTATTGCTGTTTCAAAAGAAAAAAAAAACCCAAAACACTCAAGTGATTTTCAAGTGGGAAGCAGCCAGGAGTTAATGCTTTTGACAGGAAAAGCAGACTCTCTTGTTTAAACAAGTTGTCTCCACAGAGTCTGAAATACAGTGTGGAGAAAGAAAAACGATTTTTGAACAAGATTACACACTTTCCTTTTAGTCAAGAAAGCATTTCCTAAATTATGGATATAGAATTTCCTTGTCCTGTTGACCTGACATTTCCATGCTAAGCTAATTCATCTGAACGGTCTCACGAAGACTGGCTGCGTGAGGAGCAACGTGCCTTGGTGCATTGAGACATTCGTCATACAATGCCTCAGCTCAGGGAAAATGGGAGATAGGTGTGCTCCCTCACCTGCACCCCTGTTGTCTCAATTTGCACGGGATTAGGGACCACGGCTGCCGGGGAGGTTGCAGACTGACCGGGTAGCGGCAGCACCCCAGTAAATTCACAGCCATGCAATTCACAGGCTGTAGTTACAAACAAGCCTCATCACACTGTGAATTTCTGAAGCTTTACAAACACCTTTGCTAAAATCATATCACCGGCGTGTGCAGGGTTGGAGTGCCACATGCCTGCCATCCAGTACCGTCATGGCCGCTCTGCTTCTTCCTTCCGCCTTTCCATAGCTGAGCTGTGGTCCTTGGGGTGTCCATCTGCTCGGAGGCGCCCCCCAGGTATATGATGTTCTGCAGTGGCCACAGCTCCTGATGGGCAGCCCCTGCCTGTCCTGGTAAATCTGAACTTGGGCAGGTATGCCAGCACCAGCTCTTGGAGCTAACACCCAGTGCTCACTTCATCTGAGAGCACCCTGAGGCTGGGGGCAACGGAGATCGGCAGATCTTGGAACTCCAAAAGAATACTCTGCTTCACTGGGTGGGCAACTCACAGAAAGCTTTGCCAAACAGATGAAATTCTCCAGCCAGAGAAGTCCCCCTTTCCTCTTTTTCCCCCATGATCTCTGCTAACTGCAGCAGCTGCATCTTCAGTGCAGGCCTGGGTCGAGCTTTGCGTTTTCGTTATTCCCTGGATGTCCTGTTCGGTGCATTCTGCTCTGGATGCAGCCGTCTCACCCCCCAGCAACCAGGGTTGTGGTTGGGGGGCAGTTCAGCCTGGGGAATTGACACTGATGTCCTCAGTTCTTGAAATGCTGGCGGGGAGGTAGCGTGCAGAAGACCCCGGGCCTGCAGCCTTCAGAGCTGACCTTCACTGACCAGTGAAGGAGGTAATGACGTGGAATGCTTTACAGTGGGATCGTGGGACAAACTTGGGGGTAATTACTTTGTTTAGAAAAGCAGAACTATTGGATTATTCTAAACGTCTGTGTATCTGTTATCTAAAGAAAAGGTTTAACAGTCACAAGAACTCTGGGTTTCCCGACCAGGTGGGCTTGTACAGGTGATAAATAGGGGATGGGTGGGGGTGGCCTCAGGGGTGAGCTTGTCCCCACATCCTCAGACCCTGTAGCATCAAACTGCTCTCCCATAAAGACAATGGGAGCCTCGAGATAAGAGAATGTGAAGTGTCTGCTTTGATATGTAAAAGCAGGAGTAAGGACTGACCTGCTCCTCATTGACTTCGGTGGCTGCTTCTTTCTTATTATTTGGTATTTAAGGCCTGTCCCATTTCTCCAAAGGGGTGCCAGGTCTGCGGAGCTCCCACCCAGCACCCACCCCTGCGCAGACCTGCAATAACTGTGAGTTATTGCACACCGGGTGAAGAACTCAGATTTGGGATGTGTCCATGAGTGATGGGTGGGCTATTTGCCAGATTGCCTTTGTAGCTTCATTAAAAGAGATTCAGTCAATTTTACCTGTTTCAGTTTATTGCAAAGGGGAAATGATGTTGCTTTTTTTCCTACTCGGTTTTGCCAGCAAGACCCGGTCGCGGTGCCTTTTACCCCGCTGGAGACGCAGACCGTGATTTTCTTAGTTTTAGAAAGGGAAAGTCTGTTTTTCTGGAGATGAGGTGTGTGTTGTACAGTCTAATGTTAAGCCTTTAATTTCATTGTGTTTTCTTGTAATCATGCTTTAAACACATTTAATTGTCCTTGACCAAAACCAGTTTGATCTCTATATTCATATCATCATTAAAGGAAATATCTTTCTCTGTGTGATGGGTTGGCTTTGCATCATGGGTGTCCCATAAAGAGTCTGGGTCTTTTTCAGTTCTTGGGACTTGCTTCTGCCTATCCTGATTGTTTTAGTCTGCCAGCACAGACCAGAGAAAGGCAAAGGAGTTCGTAGATCAGGATGAGTCGTCACGTGGTCCAAACTGCTGTTTAGCTCTGCTGCTTTTCTCTGAACGGTAGCTCACAGGACATGAGTTAGTGCCCGAAAACTGCCACTGCACTACAACTCAGAAAGTTGAAGAACTAGCATTTGCAGGTCGGTAAACTGCATGTCACTGTAAATCCCGAGGTCCCACCGATCTACGCTCATTTTCCTGCATGATGCAGAGCACAATTAGTGGGAACAATTAATTACCATTAGATGATATGGACGGTTCAGCTACTAATCTCCTTAACGGGGTGTGTGTGGGGAACACGAGAGAGAGCATTGTGTAGAAAGTGAGTGTGTAGCTGCCCCAGA